CATTCGCACAGTTCAATCGCCATGGAGTCAAAGTCTCTTTCAGTTCGTCGGTATGCGATTGACTCCATGGGACGGCTATCTGGGTTAAGTCCATTCGTGTGGTTGAATCTCCCGAACGGCTGGCATTCGTATGCTTTTGTCGATTGAGAAGGGGAGGTCGACGGCTTCAGCGGTGTTCGGCTGAAAAAGTGTCCGTTTTCCGATCCATGAAATAGTCGTCGAACACCGCTGGTCGTTCGCATGGACAAAATGGCCGCCGCCTCGTGGTCGACATACGAACGACGACCACCCGGCATTCGTTTTAATTGAGAAGTGTCTGTGGTTAACCGCAACGTTCTAATTGGGATCAATAGGTTAACCAGCAGCACACTTCTCTTCTGGGTGGTCATCCGTTCGGTAGTTCCGTTCGACAAAAACCGACATTCCCTTGAATAAAGCATACGAATGGGGAAATTCATGTAACCGGCAAAACAGGCGAACACAGCATTTATAATCCAGACAGATGGGTCTGTCACATCCCATACTTGTCCCAGTCTTCCATCTGGTCCCCTAGGGCAGTGTCCACCAGGTGGGAGACCTGCATAAATAACGGGCAGGTAGCCCTCAATAAATCAGATTCCTGTTTTACCCTCAAGACGGAGCTTGGTCTCGTGTTTGCGGTGATTGCTGCTTTGGAGTATTCTTTTGCCTGTTCCAGGAGAAAAGGATTTCATATGATTCTCAGTTTGGAAGTTTGGAGCATTTCCTGTATTCAGTTCAGGAGTTTAGCGGTCTGCAGTAGCTGTGCCTGTGTCTCTGAAAGGGGAAGATCGACTAAACGGCGGTTTCACTCCTTTATGCCAGGAGTGTCTTAACAATATATATATATTCGATCTTGGGTTAATTAGGTGCAAAGCCAATACAATATACCAAACCATCATGGTAGTGAGAAAGTGTGCTAAGAGCACTAAAAACTCTGGCAGTAATGCAGGAAAACATATAGCAGTGTTATATGGTCCCATGAATACCTATCACATTATGTATGTATGTGTGATAATATAATGTAGGCACAAAATCAAATCAAATACACCTACACCCTGTTCCAAATTATTATGCAAATTATATTTTTCTCATTTACCTAAATAATTGATGTAACAGTCAACATAATTCTCATGTTATCAACTATTAAGAGTACTGTGACTGATTCATCTGTATTGCTGGTTCATCTGTTTCCCTTTGTTCGCTAAATTGCCTGTTCATATACCCCCGTTCGTGTAATTTGCAAACTACCGATTGAAACTACCGAACGAACGACCACCCAGGAGAGGAGTGTGCTGCTGGTTAACCTCTTGGCCCCAATTAGAACGTTGTGGTTAACCGCAGACACCTCTCCATTCCATTCGTACGGGTGGTCGTCGTTCGCATGTCGACAACGAGGCAGCGGCCATTTTGGGACATACGAACGCATAGCGGTGTTCGGTACAAACTGTATGGAACTAAAAACAGACACTTAAACTACCGAACACCGCTGGAAGCTGCTGCCTACCTTCTATTTCGACAAGGCATTCGAACGTCGGTCGTTCGGGAGTTTTTATGCATTCGTATGGACTTTCACCCAGACAGCCATCCCATGGAGTCATTCGTATACCGAAGGACTGGTGAAAGACTTTGACTCCATGGCGATTCGACTAGATACATCGGATCTGAGCGCTATTCGGTGAAAACATGCACTCAGATCCAGGCTGTCTGGGGATACGTTACACGAACTATATCCATTCGGTATTTTTCCAGATATGTATTTTAATGTATTTTTGTGACTGTATTTTAAAATGGCGATGGTCTCTACCCTGGGAGATAATTAGGTTTCTTCCTAATTATCTCCGAGGTAGAGAAGACGGATTTATGGGTAAGATGGGAAGGGCTGATATTGAAGCCACTGCGATTGGCTACTGTACAATATGTTTTACAGTCTTCCACAAGGTCCCCTCGGGGAGTGTCCACCTTGTGGAGACCTGCATAAATACCGGGCAGGTAGCCCCCATTAAACGGATCCTGATTTGACCCTCAAGACGGAGCTTGGTCTCGTTTGTGGGGGAATTACTACTGGGACAGCGCTTTCGTTATTTTTAGCTGTGGAAGGCGTTCGACTGTTTTGCTGATCGGGAGTTGCCGTGTTCGTGGACTTCGTTCGGGAGTTTGGCGGTCGGCTGGATATAAACTGCATTTCTGGAGAAGGGGATTATTTACTAAACGGCGGCTTCATCTACCTGGCGGTGAGTGTCTTAACAGTTACAATAGCTGTTCCTGCATCTCTGGAAAGGGGGACGATCGCCTAAACGGTTTTAACCCCTTGTGTGCTGAAACGGTCCGTTACATAACCCAAATGTGGTTGCCCAGTAACTGCAGGACCACCATCCAAATGGATGGTCCTGGGATTATCAAATGCTTACTAAGGAAGTGAGACTAGAAAACGTGGCATCAGAGGTTGCACTTCGCACAGGATATATCCAAGTAAACCTGGTACATGCATCAACACATACAAAAATGTTTTTGCTAAACACATGAATTACAGTATTTGCCATACTGAACCACCAATATTCCTTTTCAGGAGTCAGAAGTACATTACCTCTCTCTATAAGAGCTTGTCCTAGCCATGAAAAAGCTTTTAGGGCAAGTCTGTCTTTCCTCTATAGGAAGAACAACCAACATATTACCTTCAATGGTTATTATGTAATTAACCCCTCTAAACGATAGGAGTATTTATGTGGATACCAGGTGGATAAGGTCTGGATATCCTTGCAAGCATAAACTCTGTGTAACGGACCGTTTTGCACACAAGGGGTAAAAACCGTTTAGGCGATCGGCCCCCTTTCCAGAGATACAGGCATAGCTACTGCAGAACATCAAACTCCCGAACTGGATACAAAATAGCACTCCAACTCCCGAACTGGAACCTCCCAAATAGCTGCTAGCAGACGAACAGGAAAAGCACCCAAGCGGCTTACACTCCTGGCAATCAGTCTCTAACAGCATACAGTGACTCCCCCCAAGAACGAGACAAGGCTCTGTGTTGAGGGTCAAGCAGTGGTCTGAGGTGCTGGCACACCCAGCCTGGTTTTTATTACAGTCTTACAAATACAGGACCGCCCACAGGGAGGTATAAAACAACCAATCACATCACAGTTACATCCCACATATTCCCTCCCCTTATCCTGAGGAAACTCAATTATACATACAGTTAAAACATACTTTCTACCCAACTTTCATAACTCTAAAACCATACATCACATTCACATAAAATTACATATTCACAATCAATCCATTCAGGGGAACAACATATTAAAAAATGACATGAATCAGACCAGGGGTTCAAAAGTTAGTAAAAAGTCCTTTGTGACTAAATGAAGCATGGCTTTCTGGCCCAAACCAGTTTCAGAGTCTTCTATCCTGGAGAGTAATTCAATTATCTCCCAGGACAGACACAAGACTCCATTAAGCACATGGTTGCAAAAGACACAAAACACTTTAAAATACATAAAGTCACATTTATTACATAAAACACAGACATGTAACATATCCCCAGATAGCTCAGGTCCGAGCGCACATTATTAAGCGAATGGCACTCAGACCACACGAATACAGTTTAATCGCCATGGAGCCAAAGTCTTTACAGTCAGTTTCATACGAATGGGCTCCATGGGATTCCTATCTGGGGTATAACACATTCAAACAAATCTACCGAACCCCAGGCAGAAAAGCACGACTGAAGCTTTTCTGCAGGTTAAAAAGATGTCTTTTAACAGGGGGCCATAGTCCAAAGGCAGCAGGCAAGCAACCAGGCTTCTCCAATGCAATGTGGCGAGATTGGTCTCGTCAAACTCTGCATTATGACTGAGAGATAGGGTATGCTTTTGTGATCCAATGACCACAGAAAAGCGTTGGTAGACACATTGCATCAAAGTGCCTGTTAACGACCAACTATATGAGGAGAGGGGCCATGCTTTGTTATAAGCATGTCCATACACGTATTACAATGCCAGGCTTTCAATTTGTTACCACAAAGCAAAATGCAGTTGTGGATATAAACTCACAACGTATCGTAAGAAAAACTGTTTAAACACCAGACTGAGACTTGAGATCAGTGGACCAAAATATATAAATGAAATCCTATCAATTAATATGCTTTCAATATATTTTCTTTAAATTACTTTATTCTCTGTATTAACTATTAAATATTAAAGTGAAAACAATAACATTTAAAAGCCAACTTTTAGTGTGGATAGGAATTACAAGACCATTCATAATGTGAGATAAAGAACAGCTTTTTTAAAAACCAAATAGTCTGTGAACACAAAATGACCTTGCGCTGAAAATTCACTTGCAGGGAAAAAAAACCCAAAAACTTATTTTCTTTTTTTTTTTTTTAGTAAATTAATTAATTAATTAAACATAGTTAGAACCTCCCTCAAAGTCCTGATGACTTTGCAAGAAACATGTCGTCCTTAAATAATGGGCAAGTCTAATAAACAGTGAAATAGCATTTTTACACTGTATATCATGTTGTCACAGCTATAATAAGCAGTATAACAAACTATAAGTGTTGTGCAAACTGTTCATTAAAAGCCAGTGGTCTAGCGAGCTACAGAACCTTTATTTACTTATTCTTTAAAGCTCTGACCTCAATCGGCAAAACAATATTGTAATGGTGTCCATTGCAATCTGCTGTCTTACTTGCTGCTCTCAAAAATTCTGAATATGTTCAGAGATTTCTTGGGCAATAATAAATCCCCAAAAACAACAACTTTGCATTTATGCTAAACCTGCCTGTTGTAAACGTATTCTGTATATTTCTTGTCATAAGTACTTGTACTTAAATCTGTTTAACAAAGCTGTTTATATTGTGGTGTAAAATAATTTTTTTATTATTATTATTTATTTTATTTATTTATTTTTTAACTTTGCTTAATTTTTAAAGATACCTGCATATTTAATTAAATTATGTCTAAATATTTAATTATGTCTTTAAGGCATAAAATATCTGCAAATTAAGATTATATACAAAAATGCATGTTCTGGGTGTTCCCGTGATTCCTTTTCTATCATTTATTTTTCTTTAAGTCTGGAATCTGATTCCTTTTGGGATGAGCACCCCTCTGAGCCCCCCAGTTTCAGAGGCTTCTTTGGAGGTGACCACTGAAAAGTATAGATTCTATAAAATAGATGTGAGGGGGCTTTGGACAGTAAAGTTACCTTAATTATACTTTTCATATAGCAGATATGTGATATGCAATGTGATTTAATATATCAGAGTATTATCACTTTAATTGACACTACATTTTTTTATGCATTATTGTTATTTTTTTTTTTTTTTAAAGTTTAATGTCTGTTTAGAATATTGCAGGCTTTGCAATATCACATTAATTTTGCAGTATATATATTCACAATGCTCTTACAACTTATTATTAAAATTAGCCTCTTTCAGAATTGTAGAATATGTGGTGGAACTGAATCCCCATATGAGATTTAAAACTGTATTTTTATTTCTACTCTGTGCCCTAATCTGTATTTATATACATAATTGCAGCAGCACATAGCTTTTAAAGAAGCAATTATTTCACCCTTCATGTGTGGTTGACTGTGGACTTTTTAAAACCTTATTTTTTTATTTTTTTTTATAAATCCGGTTCTGGCTCTGAGAGAGCAGGCTGCTGAATGCGTGTAAATGCTCTTATTGCTTAGTCTATATACATTTATTTATAAACAACATTGATATATTTATATATGAACAACTTTGATATTTAATCTTATTTTATATTTATTTTATGAAAACCTAGTTTATGAAATTCACTGGGATTACATGTGTCTGATCTGATTACAGTCAGTAGTACAATATCATTGTTCTAATTTCCTTACTGCTAGCACTACAGGTACAGTGGGATAGTACCACTGATTTAAGTAAGCTTTCCCTTTTAAAATTGGTGGAGTAAGCAAAGTCATTATGTGCAGGAATTGTGCACTTTAAATAGTAGAATACTTATGCAATTTTAGTGAATTGGGCTGGCTGCTTAACACATCATTTAGTATATTTTGGTCACATTTAAAGCTGTAAATGTATTTAACATTTTATTTAAATGAGCCTTTAATAATTTCAGTTTAAAATTTATCAGAGATCCTGTCTAGTTACAATTTTATTTTGCCCTGATTTATCTTACATATATATTATTTTTAATCATTTTATAACTATTTATTTTTGCAGAGCATTTAGAGAAGCAAATGATGTATAAACACCTGTTGCCCTTTTTTCAAGGAGGGTAGTATAAATTCAACTCTGTTTAGGAAAATAATATGAGCTAGTTATCATATATTATATAAAATATATGCTGCAGTGTACTGCATTGTACTGCAGTGAGTGTATTTAAAATCAATGTCTTTCTCTTTATGGCTGTATGTAATAATGTTGTTCATAATTTGGATTATAAAACAACTTCTCAATTCCTTGGAATGTTTACATGTCTCTATCTCCGCAACCTTGGCTGGAAATTCCAGACTCCAAATATAGTTATGCTGTTATAATTGAAGATTATGCTAGCTTCAGTGTACAGATAATCTTAATTTTAATAATGACAGGAGGTGAGTATTTTGCATAATCTTTCTTTACTAACTCCACAGCAGCAAAGAAAAGAGTGACATAACTGAGAACCAATCACAATGCATTATAGAGTATAAAAGGTGTAACGTATGACATAATTTCCTCTTAAAGCATGCAACATCACAAGATCACAATGCATAATAACAATAAAGATAACTTGTGTAAGGGGCAAAATAGCCGTATATGGAGTAAGGATCCAGCATAAGCTTAGGATAGTGTAAAGGGAGCAAGTCGGTTGTGGTGTGCCGATACCGACGATACGGTAGGCCTGTAAATAAAGAGGGCCCACCAAGGAGTAAGAAAGTAAAGTAAATGGAAAGAAAAGAGAAAGTGTTGAAATGAGGAGTGGGTGGGAGGGTCATTCTGATGCTGACCTCAAGCGATATGAGTCAGGTAAGGGGTGTCCCTTATATAGGGGAGTGAATTAATTTAAGCCCCTCCCACAAATACAGGCAAAACTGCCTTAATACTTGTGTAAGGGGCAAAATAGCCGTATATGGAGTAAGGATCCAGCATAAGCTTAGGATAGTGTAAAGGGAGCAAGTCGGTTGTGGTGTGCCGATACCGACGATACGGTAGGCCTGTAAATAAAGAGGGCAAAAATGAATAATCAAAGATTTAATACAGTCAACAAATATATACAAATTAACCAGACATTTCCTTAAATGCATTACAGTATTTAATTCCTGAAAGGATTTTGAAGGTAGGAATCTAGGACCGAAAGTGGGCACCATTTGTTGTGGGTAGGATAGTATGTTATCTCTACTGTTGGTGCATGTTGACTCGTTTCGGAATGTGGTAGAGCCAATAGGTAATGATATATGTGTTTACATACGTGGGATCGTTGAAGCCAATGATTTGTCTGAGTGGTGGTGATGGTAGTGGATTCTCTGGCCTGAGAAAGGCTTAAAAGGCAATGTGCATGGCTGGTAATGGCCAACTTGGTAGTATAATTGAATGGTTGTAGATCTAATAGGTCCGATAAGGATGAAAAGTTGGATGGCTATTGGTAATCTCTGAGAGGATGTGGGGGAATGGATTCCTGAAAACCTCTGAGTATATTCTTTTCTGGTATGATAGCATGAAGTTTATGGTAGTTTTGGCCATAGGTTATCCTGTGTTGTTGAATGCCTGTAAAATATATAATTAATGGTGTATGAGATAGTTTAAGTTTAAGTTTAAGGTGGCAAAAATAAGCAAAACCTAGGAGAAATTTTATGACACAGGTTGAGCTATGTCGTGTTCCAATGAGATTCTTTAAGCCAGGTGAAAAGCTGTGTTATGCGTTCTACAAGTATGGGACGAAAGTGCTAGGTGGGATAGTGCATGCTATGCTGCATGAGTATGTCTAATCCATGATTTTGTCTCTGGAACGAAAGAGTGGCCGTGACTGTATGGGAGGCTGTAGGAAGCGTATGATGAACATGCCTGGAATATAAATGAGACAGTTGTTGGCAGGGATGTATACCCCCGTCTGGTACATGAAAGTGAAATGTGATAAGCCACAGCAGCTGCTACAATGGGGTAGATATCCCAAAGGGGCTGAAGTGGTGGAAAAATTTCCAAACCTGGATGCCATGGCCAACAGCTCCAAAGCAATTGTTCCCGGTAGATCGCTGCCAAACCCGTGGTAGACGCTGCGTCTGAGCATCTGGTTGGAGAAGTGTCAGACAATCCTGGAAGGAACATGCTTTTACCATGCCAAGTGGTTAAGAAATCCCCCCCCCCATGTGCAGGTCTGCTGTTGCTGAGGTGTCTAGGCACCTCCTCTGATCGTCATGTTGGAAGTGTGGAAAAAAGGGGAAAGTACTCTGGATGTGAAAGCGTGGTCTTGTGGTATGATTGGCATGGCAAAATTAAGGAACCTGGTAGGGATTGTAGTTCCTTGTAGTTGTAAGTACTAAGTAGGAGGTAGTGATTGATTTAGTTGAGAATGTTCCCTTTTTGTCTTGTGGTAACTTGCGTGTATGGATGCAGACTCAAGTCATATGCCCAGTAATGTGATGATAGTGTCTGCGCCTTCTGTTTCTTATGGGGTACTGGGACGCCCAAGTGGTCAACCAGACTAAGCTGCCATGAGGCTTCTAGTGAAAAATATGCTTTCTTTGAGCAACAAGAAGTCTTCTAGATAGTGTATGACTGTAATGCCTCTGGATATGTTATCATAACCAGCACAGAGTATCTGCGAATATCGATAGTAGGCTAATCTGTAACCCAAAAGTTGAGAGGGGAAAGGATTGCCCAATTTATGCCATGTAAGTGCCAGTGTGTAGGGTAGATGGTAGCCGTTTACTGCGTTGATGATATTGGTCTTACTTAACCAAGCTTTAACCCATGCTTGAGTGATAGCTGTAAAGGTAGATCAATGGTGTTGTATAGTAAGAAAAATCCTCGGAGGGTATGAGGGAGTTGAGACTTGGGGTAGCGGAGGTGTGTGGTGCCAATAAGTCTATGGTTAGTCTTTGTTTAAGGGAAGATTCCTTGTGACAATACCAATGTGTGTGTTTGGTGCCATGCTGTAAATGGTGGAGATTGGAAGACCCCTCTGCAAATCTTGGCTATGAGTGTGTTTTCAGCCAATGGTTTTGTTGTGCTGACTGTAAGTGAGGGCATGCTATATTCCTTGAAGGTGTGTTTATGATACCTGTATGGGAGCCCTTTGAAGCTCCAGAGCTTTAGTAAATCTACTACAAGTCTGGAAGGGTGATGAGTCAGTAGTGTTGAAAATGCATTGGTGTGTACAGATGGTGAGTATGTTCTTTGTAAGTTGTATTGGGCCACATGGTTTGTCATGTGCCCTAAACCATTTGAACATATATGCAACAGTCTATATGCAATGCAACTACTCATATCAATGGTCTCTGGTAGTTCAGATGTGCTGGTACCTGGAGCCTGAGAGTGCTCGTCCATTTGTTTGGGACAGAATCCCTTCTGTATGGGTACCTGCACAAATAAACATCTCTACATATTCCAAATACCAACCCATCCAAGAGATGGTCAGTTCCCGATATAACTGGAATCCCTGGATCTGACCATCACAGATACATCATCATACATATATATGCCTTGCTTCCCCAATGTGCTGGGATCATACGTGCAGGGTTAACATCTTGTGTGTCATAAGAATTGATTGTACCAGGTAACAGAGTTTTGGTTGGTGCTGGTTGTACAGTAACGTGAGGCCCAGCCTGGTGAGGGCTGTGGTGACCAACTCGAGATTGCCAGTCTGTCATAAATTTTTTGGTTCATGAGTTTATGAGTGAGGCTAGCATAGCCTGGGTGTCACCTGAGTTGATGTAGCTGGGCCTTCCCCTGCCTCCGTGTTGTCCGTTGATGTATGGAGGAGTTTGAATAACTCTGCTTACCTTGCTGTAGAAGGGTAGGGGATTTGTCACCTCCTTAGGTCGGTGGTAATGTGTGGGATCGTCCAGGATCTGATTGCTGCTGGACTAGCAACATCTCCTCTGCTTGAAGGTGTATCAATTCTAGCCGGGGTGCTAGGAAGAGGTGATTCTTCACCATCTTTTTGAGAAATACTTAAATAACAATAAAGATTGCAATTATTATTTGTACCCAGG